TGCTGCTGCTCTGCGGTGCTGGTGCCGCTGCTGCTGGTGGCGTGCGGGGTGGGCTCTTCGCATGGCGCCAGGCCGTCGGCGGGCCGCGGGGGGTTAGTGATGTACGCGTTCGTTGTTCACTCGGGCGTGTCTGTCTACAGGAGGCGTGTTCGAACACAGTCTAAAAATAATCTGGGGGAGATATGTCGCCGATGTTTGGCAATTGTTGGACATTGTTTAGACCATCCTTTATGCTTCCCCAACAAATCGGCCTAAGTTCGTTGCCGCTCGCGCGCCAGGGATGCACCGACCGTTTGCCCAGGGTGCCCTGCCACCCCGCCTGCCGCGCCTCGGGCTTCATATTCGTCGGCCCTTCCTCCCGTTTCGTTGTGCCCCTGCCTTGTGCCCTGCCTCCTCCTCCTCCCCGAATTGGGCGCGCGCCTGCGGACGGGCAGCGCGCCCTCATGGGCCTTCGACGCGCGGTGCCTGAGTGCGTGAAGCGGAAACAACAACAAACAAAAACAACAGAAACTCCTCCTCCTCCTCCTCCTCCTCCTCCTCCTCCTCCTCCTCCTCCTCCTCCCTCTCCTCCTCCTCCTCCTCCTCCTCCCTACTCCTACTCCTACTCCTACTCCTATCCTTATTCCTTATTAGAATATACTCCTACTCCCCCCTCAGGCCGGCCATAGGGGGCCGCATCCGGGTGGTCCCATCCTAACCTGTAAAAAACAATACAAAATCAACATTTTTCTTATTTTTTCCTCTCGACATGGACGTCCTGTCGTCCACGGCGATAATCCATTGCAAAAATACCACAAAGAGCACACGCGCGCGTTCATGTCAGAATCCTACCGAACACCGTGTGTTTGCAAGCATTTCAACATAAAAACATCAAAAACCCAATGCTTTTTCACAAAAATTGTACAAATTTCCCGCCCGGGCTCTCTTGCTGAAATCATAGGAAAACCATAGGAATCTTAAGAATTCTGTCGAATCCAGCGATTTCACGTCATCGCGCGGTGCACTCGCGATGCTCTGTCATGCACCCAGGCCGCGAATCCTGTGCAAAAAATACCACAAAGAGCACACTCGCGCGTTCATGTCAGAATCCTACCGAACACCGTGTGTTTGCAAGCATTTCAACATAAAAACATCAAAAACCCAATGCTTTTTCACAAAAATGCTTTGGGGTGTCCTGTCAGACCGTCGGGCTTCCTCCGGCCACCTCTGGCTTCCTGCGGTGTACCGGGCCATTCTCGACTCGTCTGGCAATGCGTGCGCGGCATTCAACACGCGCTCGCCAGTTCCCGTCGGCAACCGCCATCGCGGCCGCATCAGCTGTACCAAACCGGCTGGCCGGTGTGACTTCGGCCCCCAGTTGTGCCAGCTTTGCTTCTTATGTTGTGGGAGGGCGGGTGGGACTGGGCATGCCATGCTTGACTCGCTCGAGCTGGCTAGCTTGACTCCTACTCTATACTCCTACTCCTATCCTTATTCCTTATTAGAATATACCTACTCCCCCCTCAGGCCGGCCATTAGGGGCCGCATCCGGGTGGTCCCATCCTAACCTGTAAAAAACAATACAAAATCAACATTTTTCTTATTTTTTCCTCTCGACATGGACGTCCTGTCGTCCACGGCGATAATCCATTGCAAAAAATACCACAAAGAGCACACGCGCGCGTTCATGTCAGAATCCTACCGAACACCGTGTGTTTGCAAGCATTTCAACATAAAAACATCAAAAACCCAATGCTTTTTCACAAAAATTGTACAAATTTCCCGCCCGGGCTCTCTTGCTGAAATCATAGGAAAACCATAGGAATCTTAAGAATTCGGTCGAATCCAGCGATTTCACGTCATCGCGCGGTGCACTCGCGATGCTCTGTCATGCACCCAGGCCGCGAATCCTGTGCAAAAAAATACCACAAAGAGCACACTCGCGCGTTCATGTCAGAATCCTACCGAACACCGTGTGTTTGCAAGCATTTCAACATAAAAACATCAAAAACCCAATGCTTTTTCACAAAAATGCTTTGGGGTGTCCTGTCAGACCGTCGGGCTTCCTCCGGCCACCTCTGGCTTCCTGCGGTGTACCGGGCCATTCTCGACTCGTCTGGCAATGCGTGCGCGGCATTCAACACGCGCTCGCCAGTTCCCGTCGGCAACCGCCATCGCGGCCGCATCAGCTGTACCAAACCGGCTGGCCGGTGTGACTTCGGCCCCCAGTTGTGCCAGCTTTGCTTCTTATGTTGTGGGAGGGCGGGTGGGACTGGGCATGCCATGCTTGACTCGCTCGAGCTGGCTAGCTTGACTCCTACTCCTACTCCTACTCCTACTCCTACTCTTTCTCTTCCTCCTCCTCCTCCTCCTCCTCCTCCTCCTCCTCCCTCCTCCTCCTCCTCCTCCTCCTCCTCCTCCTCTTCCTCCTCTTTCCTTCAAACTCATGCCAAGCTGTGGAGACCTCGGTCGTCTGGAGTTTTTAAGGTCTCTGGATTCGGGAATTGCCTTGTAGGGTCGGTTGCCCTCTTGTTCGGATTCCACGGGTGAGATGTCCCAGCTGCTTGCTTGGAGTTAGATACCTTGGGCGCTCAGAGCGGACAGGCGGTCCAAAACTCGCTGCTGCTAAGTCGGCCCCAGGGCGTTCGCTTTAAGTCGAGATCTGGATCCATTACCCATACAAGTGTCTGGCGTGATCGTCTCCGAACGCCATCAGCAGCACCACTATATGTTCAAGTACCACTCAGTTATATAGTCTGAACGCGGGCATGCAACGGCTGACTCACGCCCCGCTGGGCGGTGGGAGCTTGACTTCGGCAGCGCGCGCTCAAAGATAGGGGGCGCCGCGCTGCCATATGGATTACGTGGTGTGCCCGACCTGAAGGTAAAGAACCCACGGTTCCAAAGAACAGGCCAGTGGTTGCAAGCCGAGCTGGCCGAGCTACCAGTGGCGGCATGGCGCGGCCGCCGCGCGCTCGCCGGACGTGAGAGGGCACGCGGTGGAAGCGAGGGGCGTGAAGAGAACGCAGTTCGAGGAAGAGCGTGTATCAGCGGACGTGGGTGTTGACCAGAAGGTCGGAAATGAGGGGGAACGCGCGCGCCCAAAAACGTTTAAAAGTCAAACGCATTCAAACCAGAAACGAACAGCACGACGGAGCAGCAACGAAAACAAATACGAAAAGCAAAACGAAGGCAAACACCAAGCTAAACAGCGTTGTAGTGGGCCCTTGATGGATTGGCTTGACAGGGGCGCCGCCGCGCCAAAGACGCAGGCGATACCGACTCACGACGGGCTGGAAAAGTTCGCTCGCGATGACGGGCGCCGAGGCCGGCAGAAAAAGAGGCCGAGGAGAAGGCGGAGGGCGTGCACGCGGCGACGAAGGACTTCGCAGCACCCAGCGGCGAGCGCAGATGCCGAGGTCGTGGACCTTGTGACCCTGCTGGGGGCCTTGATCGCGGAGCCTCGTGGCTTGAAGTTGGCGCTCGGGGCCGCTGTCGGCGAGGAGGACGGCGACCCACCGTCGAAGGAGCAGTGAGCGGGAGCGTGCGCGGCCAGTCGGCGTTGACAGTGCGGTGTGATGCAGAGAGGGGGGGAAGGCACGATGCCGGTAGCCTCCAGGCCATGACGACCGCAAGGCCGTGGGCTCATCCTCCGCCCTCCGCCTTCCCCTCCCGCCCCTCCTCCCAGTCCCATCGGTTGCGTCGGTCACCCGGCCCCTCGCCCGGTCGTGCTCGGTCTAGGCCCGTTGTCTCCCGTTGGGCCCTCTCGTCGTCTCGGGGTCTCGTCGTTGCATGGACCCCGAGCGGAGCGCAAAACCTAACATGTCAGCCTTCTCCCCCCACTCCCGCCTTCTCGTTCTCCATCTTCCTCCCCTTCTCCACCCAGCACGCGGCAGCAACGCTTGCGGCGTGTCGCTCTGGGGCTTTGGCCGAGGGCTCTGGCCCGAGCTCGGCTGGCAGCGAGAGCTTCGGAGCCATCCGAATCCAATCCTCCTCTCCGCTCCCCCTCCTCCTTGCCCCTTCGAGGCAAGTCCGCTGTGGCGGAGCTATCCAAATCCGATCCTCCTCTCCGCTCCCCCTCCTCCTTACCCCGGCTCCCCCTTTCGCTCCTCCCCCCCTCCTGCTCCCCCCGTCCTGCTCCTCCTGGCGCCCCCGCGCCTCCCCTCCTCGCTCCCCTCGTCCCCGCCTCGGCCTGGCATGCGGAGAGAAAAGGGGGGCCTGCCCCGCGCTGGCCAGCTCAGTCAGCAAACGCTTCCTCCCTCCCTCCCCTCCCTCCCCTCCCGCCCTTCCCTCCCCTCCCTTCCCTCCCCTCCCCTCCCTCACTCCCCTCCCCTCCCTTCCCCTCCCCTCCCCTCCCTCCACAATTACTCAATCTGACTAATACTCTCCCTCTTCCCCTGATGACGGTTTGAAAGTGGCCGACCCCCCCCCCCCCGCGTATTGTTTTTTACACACAGGTTTCCCCGGAGTTGGGTTTTCGCCTGCATTTTTGTTCAAAATGCTGCTCTCGCTGAGGCGCCGGCCTCATTTTCGGGCCCCGCTCGTTCCGAGTCGTGCTCCCGCCGCAGCGCTGGCCTCATTTCCGTGCTTCCGCTCGTTCCGAATCGTGCTCCCGCTGCAGTGTTGGCCTCATTTCCGCGCTTCCGCTCGTTTCGACTCGTGCTCCCGCTTCAGCGCTGGCGTCATTTCCCGCGCCATGCCACCGCATGCAATGCAATGCTAGGTTGATACTACGCTTTGCTGTGCTCTTCTACGCCATGCCATGCCGTGCTCTACATTGCATCGCGTACCCTTTCGGGATCGTTGCCCTGCTCGACATCCGACTGAGCGAGTAGAGAGGGGATCTACGCCGTGCTAAGGGATGGGAGGGAGGGGTAGGATGTCAGATATGACGCGGGCGCACCTAGCTTGTCCTCCCTCCCCTCCCTCCCCTCCCCTCCCTCCCTCCCCTCCCCTCCATCCCCTCCCTCCCTCCCCTCCCCTCCATCCCCTCTCCTCGCCTCACCT